CTGCACCCCTGATTCCCCCCCAGTTGCTCTTGCAAATCCTGCCTAGCACTTCAGTCTCCTCTGCAGACTCCACAACCCTTTGAATCCCCCTGATCCCCCATGTGGATGCTGCTTTCCCCCCTCATCCCTCCCATGGATCCTGTTTGTCTCCTTTCCCCCCCCATTCCCTCTGAGTACTCTGCCTGCTCCCCCAATCCCCCTGCTAGCCCACCTGAAACAAAACTCAGGAAAAATGTAAGCTGCTAGTATGCTGTTCTCTAACATTATTTCCTGAGAAATCCAAAATCCATGTTGTTAATAAATTATTTCTAGTGCAGTTGCATCCATTTTACTTGGTAATAAAAAATTGCTAGTGAAGTAGTCTAGATTTTATGATGGCAGTGCTCAGAGACACCAATCAGGACAGGGGCCTCATTGAACTAAAATTTTTATTAATATAGATAAATGATAGTCACTGACAGAGAGGGCAAAAGACACAAACAGACAGTGAATGTGGTGTATAAGAGGGGTTTAACATATATGCATATAGGTATGGCTTTATTGTGTTGATAGACTTTGACTTCAAATTGTTATACCTTTTACAATGTTTCAGTAGTATAAACATCTGTACCATATTTCCAGTTATTTTTAAACAGCAGGAATATCTTATCTTCCTTCATCTAATATTATGTTTTGTGTTGTTATACAGCTGAGGGTCTTCAAACTGGCAAAGTCCTGGCCAACTTTAAATACTCTCATTAAAATCATTGGCAACTCCGTTGGTGCCCTGGGGAACCTCACCCTGGTTCTGGCAATCATAGTCTTTATTTTTGCTGTAGTAGGAATGCAACTTTTTGGGAAAAACTACAAGGAGTACTGCCGGCTAATAAGTAAGGACTGCCAACCACGTTGGCATATGTGTGATTTTCTCCACTCATTTCTTATTGTATTCCGAATTCTGTGTGGAGAATGGATTGAAACCATGTGGGACTGTATGGTGGTGGCTGGAGAACCAATGTGCCTTTGTGTCTTCTTGTTGGTCATGGTGATAGGAAACCTAGTGGTAAGAGCCCATATTTTTCTCTTTCTATTGCATGAACAGTATTACAAATATTCACTTGTCTTTCTAGCAGTGATGATAAATCTCCCACAAGCAGAAGTATATCTAGATATACTCTAGAAAACCCATTTGTGTTTATGCCTTTAGAACTGATATTCAGATTTTAAAGTAAAACTCTTTCAATAGCGTGTCACTTAAATTTGTAAGCCTCTGTCTCCTCTCCATCCTTCAATCCTGTTACTATTTAGGCATAATTTTAAAGTTATTTATATAACTGTGGGGCTACTTTTCTAGGCAGTGGACAAAGCTGAGATGTTTCACATCCACTGCTTACCCTGCAAAGGCCATCAGCTAATTGTAAAAGAAAGGTTGCACAAGGATTTGCTTCTGGAGAATCCATGTTGGGTGTTCCTGGTCAGCTTGTCATCCTGTTTAGTGACAGACACTGCACAAATGCTGGCTAGAAAAAAGTAGTGCCAGCCTCCAAAGACTTTACCACCTATGTTAGGTATAAGTCCAGGGCCAAAAGATGGAGAGAACACAAGGAGACAGTCAGCATGACAGGTCTCAACACACCAGCTACTGTCCGTTAGGTATATTCTAAGTGTATGTACCTTAATGTTTGCTCAATCCCTTTAGTCTGTTGGTCTGTGACCCTATGCCTCCAGAATCCCATGTATAAATTTGAGAATCCTCCTTCTAGCTCCTGTGCTTTTTCCAGGATTTGGTACACCACTTTTGGAGACAGGATATTGTGCTAGATGGACCATTGTTCTGACCCAGTATGTCTCATGGTTGGGGTGGTGTTGTAACCGTGATGGTCCAGGAAATCTGCTACAAGCAAGGTGGTGATATTTTTTATTGAACCAACTGTATAGCTGGGAGAGATGTTAGATAAGCTATCAGACTCAGAGTGGCCTTCTTTAGGCCACCCAGGATGGCCCTTCTTACCTGCTAATAGTATAGTCGGGACTTATCTAATTCACAGTGGCTGCTTCCAGATTTTGCAGTCCCAGAACACCATCATGCTTCTGATTGGCTGAGGGGCCCTGGAAGTCCTGCCCCTCCCCAAAGATTGACAGGTGGCCATCTGCCAATCTCTGGGGAGGGGTGGGACTTCCAGGATCAAATGGCCATCTCTCAGTCTCTAAGGAGGGGCCGGATTTCTGAGGCCCCTTGACCAATCAGAGGTCTGCTGTGTCCTGCCATGAAAATCTCCCCCCCCATGCTTCAGGATGCCAGGGTCTTTGTGCCCTTTTCCATTTTTGCAATGTTCTTCCCTCCCCTCCCTCCACTTGCTGGCTGTCTTTGTGCTTTTTCATGGTCCCAGCATTTTTTCATGGAAATGAAACTGGGATTTTTGTGGGGGGGTCCTACTAATTTCATGATTTTCATGGAAATCAAGAAATCACAAATTTGGTAAGTTCCTAAGTATATAAGGTTTGCAGATATTTACAGGAAGGAAAGCACCAAGTGTCCATTGGAAATTTAACAAAATACCAAAGAAGGCTGGCATCAGGGAGCAATCACGGGCAGCAAAATGGGGATTGACTAAGCAGGGTGGGAATTGACTATAAAGGGTCTTGAAAATGAAGAAAGTAACTTTTGCTTGATGCAAGAGAGAGTGTCTCCACAAAGCAAGTGAGGGATAATTGCAGCATGCGTCAGAGTATCCAAACTAGGTCCAGTCTATGAGCTTGGGTACTGTGTGTGGTTACGTTGCTGCAGCACTGAGGTCAGCTTCTAAGTAAATATGTAGGGTCCTTTGTGGGTTGGTATGGTCAGCCCTGAAGCCCATGCTGCTAGTTTCACTGCTGCTGGTATCTTAGTTTCAGAGATTATAGCTTTCTTGGCCTGTCTACCCATGTTGCAATGCTATCACCCAGTTGTAGTGTCAGTATAACTAGGGAAGGAGAAGCTTGTGGGAAGCCAAAAGGATTCCAAGAGAGAGGTGACAAGATCAAAGAAAATGATTATTGCAGCAGCCTTCTGGATACCTACAAGCATAGAGCCTAGAACTGCTGGGGCCTTAGGGACTGTCTGTATGGTAGTATCAGCGTGTCCCCGCAAAGCTTGCCTGACTCACCCAGTCCTGCTTGCGCACTCTAAACCCAGGAATACACCAGTGAAGCATAAGACCTATTTTGCAGCATGCTTGAATGCAGCCACTGGGGATGGCCCTGGAGGGGTCTTGTGAGTGTAATTTCAAGTGTGTGAGCAGAAACTGTTAGGGTGAGGCATGCCAAATGGCATCCTGTGTGGAGCACGCTGATGCCACAGTGTAGACATTGCTCTGTGTAGGAAGTCCACTTGGGAGCAGACTGAAGGCAGCACCATGCAGAGATATTCTGGTTCTGTGCATCCTAACTCCAGAACTAGGGGCAGAACAGTGCTAATGCTGCTATAGTGCTTCCATTTCCGAGTTAGCTCAGATATCTCATCATGATGCTGTCTGGCTCTGTTTAGACTCCTGTGCATGAGCTGTCATGCTGGTAACTAGCTTTGGGTATCTGCATGGCACTGGAGGCCTGATATGATGTGCTAAATTTTGTTAAAGATCAAATTTTATGATATAATTTTAACACACAAACTCAAAGATATATTTTTTTTGTAAATGATGAGACTATTGGGCATGCAGAGAGTAAATGCTGGAAGTTTGGGGAAGATGCAGTATGACCCTCGTACCTAAGAGACAGGCTGAATTCATGCTTGATGAGCAATATTCAGTTTAACCTCAGCTATATAGAAATGACCACAAAATATCCATATTTTTTTTTTGTTATAAAAGGCATTTGGGTTAAATTTTGAGATGTTCATTTGCTTTGAAGAAAAGGTCACTATTTTTGTTTAGGATCATGGAAACATATTTTTATTGGTGTCAGATAGGCTGCATCAAAAATAACTTGCTAAAAAAAATCATTTCATGTTGTCTTGTTTTTGTTGGCATCTTACAAACAAATTGCTTAGAAAGTAATTTTAATCCTCAGGCCTCGTGTTTACATCTCCAGTCGATCACCACAGCTTTCTTTTCACTTCAATTATTTTCAGGTTCTCAACCTGTTCATTGCATTGCTGCTGAACTCCTTCAGTGCCACCAACCTGCAGACGGCAGAAGATGACAGAGAGACCAACAACCTCCGGATTGCGGTGGCTCGGATCCACCGGGCAGTTTATTTGGTAAAATATGCAATGTGGGATTGTTGCTGTGGAAAACTCTGGCGTGCAAAAAAAACACTCAAAAAGAAAATGGAATTGAGTTCCCAGAACATGTGTGTGGTGACTGTGGATGAGAGGAAAAATTGTGTGGAAAATAACAGAAATCATGGGACTGAGAGAAATGAGGACCAGTGCTCGCTTAGCATGTTCGAAGACTTTATCACTAACCCTAATGTGTTTATCTGTGTCCCTATGGCGGAGGCAGAGAAGATTAGTGAGGATTATGAAGACCATGATGATAAATACAGCATATGCACAGAAACAGAATACAATAAACAGGTAAGAAGCCTAGGCAGGGATACTATGTTTGACATGAGAGAGCTCTTAGGAATCAGACATAACATGATCCATCTGAAGGAAGACAGAAAAGTCCATCCAGGAAAAAGAGTGGAAATCTTTAAAGTGCTAAATTCTTATCACTTGGAAAATATATATCAAGTTTGGTTGTCTAAGTGAGGGACTATATATTGCTGGGCTTGAGACAAGAATTCATGGGTGAAATTAGATGATTTATATTATACAAGCTTTTTTCCTAGATGATCATGGTGGTCCCTTCTGACCTTGAAATCTCTATTTAGTCTTAGCTACCTGGCAGAGGAAGATACTTAGTTCCCAAATAAAATATATTGTTTCAGGGGCTCAAAGTATGAACTTTTAACAAGGACCCCCTCTTTCTCAGACAAGATAGAAGGGTTAAAATTAAACCTCTCTTTCACACTTACACTATTGCATATAAAATCCGTTTCCTTTAGGTTTCTCTGAATTGTTGCAATTCACTTCTGACTATGGCGTCTTGACTGGCTTTCACGCTAAAATCTCCCCTTCTGGTTCTGAATCCTGTTACATAGCTGTACTTAATTCCGCACTTCAACCTGATGTTGAACTGCAAGTTCCTTAATTTATTTTAAAGTTACCAAGGAAAATGTTCCCCAACTTCTCTCTATAAAAATAGAGAGACTGTCAATTAGGAAATCTATCTCAGATTATCTCCAACAGGAAAACCACCTGAGACAGAGGGGAGAGCACTATAAAAGCCCAGCAGGTTGGAGTAAAGGATCTGAGGGTTCCTGTGATGACTTAAGTGAGTTTTCCATAGGTAGACAATGGAAAGTTGAATCACCATCACTAGAACAAAAAGAGGTAATACACTTAATGATCTAACATGAAGCTTTCAACTGTGGTCAGTCTCTGTTGTATATTTGTTACAGGGTTTTTTTTAATTTAACAAAGACCACAAATCAAGAAATAATGTATTTTAATTTTGTATTTAATGCACACACGTTTTCTATTTATTTTGTGTTAATAGCTCTCTCACTGTATAACTAGTCACCAAGATACTTATTCAGTTTATTTTAAAGGACCATGGCTGCTTAAGAACAAATTAATAAATCCTTTCTGTTGCAGTCTGATGTTTTCAGCTCCTCTGAAGCCAGCACAGTAGATCTGACTGATCCGGATGAGATTCTGAAACAGATCCCTGAGTTGTGTGAAAACTTAAAGGAACCAAGTAATTGTTTTCCAGATGGTAAGGATCTGCTCATTGCATTACAATGACTGTGGGAGAACAAGTCCAGAATCGCCTGTTTTCTTAGTTACTGCACAGACACAGGTCAATGAACACCTATCTACTTTCAGAATAGTTATTAAATGAATGCTTATCTAGGTGTTGGCTTTGACCTGTGAGTCCCTAAATGGCCAGAGCTCTGGCAATGGGACTGACTTTTCCCTTATGTTCCATTATGATCCCTAAGAGCAGCAAAGAACAACCTCCTGCAAATGCCACCTGTGCACCAAGGTCATTTGGTGAGAACACTTGGAAGACCATTCTCAGCACTACCTCCTCAGCTCTGAAATCCCTTTCCCTAATGGTCCCTCAGAGCCCAAGCCCAGTTATCATTTAGAAGCCTTGTCAGACCTTTGTACTTGGGCTGGCCTTCAGCAGTTAAGTTATAGGGCATTGCCTGGTGAGTTTGCTGTAGTGCAGGGGTTCCCAAACTGTGGTACACATACCCTTGGGGGTTCACAAGGGGGGTATGTGGGAGAAATTGTGTAATGGTGGATTTAACTTTCATTATAATAATAATTGGAATTTAAGGGGTTAAAGTATAAAATGTATGCTGGTAAGGGTACATGGGTATTCTGGTACATCTGGAAGGGGGTACACAATAAGAAAAAGTTTGGGAACCTCTGCTCTAATTCATATTATATTTTAATATTTTTATCCTTCTTTATAATCTATCTGGTTTTATTGTAAGCAACCCTGAAACTCTTTTTGGGAGGGAGACATGTGAGGCTAATAAAATAAATAAGGATAAAAACCCTTACGTTTTTCATACACATCTGTGTAATTGGCAAAATAAATGCAAAATACATACAGAAATTAGTCACCATAGGTTGAATTTTTCTAGGACGATAAGCCTGGAAACCCACTTTTAGCTTCATACATTTTCTTTTGTATTTGTTCTCAATATATGTTAGAATTTCCACAGCTTGCTCCTAACCAAAGCTAACCTTAACAGAAATGTTGTCATTTTTATTAGAAGAAAATATACATTTTTAATGTTACCTGCAGGACTTTATTTATAGATTGTTAGGGGCTGGAAGGGACTTTGCAGATCATTGGGTCCAGCCCCCACCCCCTCCCTCCAACTTTAGGCAAGAAGACAACTGAGGTCAAGTTGTCTTCCTGCCTTTCCTAAACATTTGACCGTTGTTGCTGAGATCAAAAGGTAGCCTCCCTGAACTCAGTCTGATCTGGGTTTTGTCCCCCTGGCTTCTTTTCAATACCTACTTTCTGCCTTGTGATCCCCTAAGGACCTCATTTTTCCACAGCACCCCTAAAGCTACCAGAATTTATTTGCACCTTATTAACTGTGCCTGACTGCTTCTTACTCCCTGGGCTTATCTACATGTGCAAATGCTGCTGGATGGGTTTACTCCAGAGTAATTTACTTCAGAGTAATTTACCGGCAGATTCCCTGCCCAGCAGTTTCTAGCTGGTGGGACCTGCCCCTCCCACACAGCTCTTTCCAAGCTCCATGTCTCATTCACCCAATTGTGGTATTGGGCTGGGAAAAAGCTGTGGGGCTGGGATCTGCCCCTGACCAGGACAGTTCCTGGACAGCCCCAGGCTTTGCAGGGAAGTCTGCATGTGCAGCCTGGAGCTGGCTGGGGACTGCCCGAAACAGGACAGCTCTAGGCCTAGCTGGGTACTATCCTGGTCTCTGGCAGGCCCCAGCCAGCTCCAGACTGGGCAAGAGACTCTCCCCAGGGACTCCCTGCTTCCACTCTGCTATCACGGAGCGGAGCTGGGAGATTGCTCCCTGCCCCAGCTTTGCAATCACAGTCATGGAGTGGGGGCACAGAGCAGTCTCCCAGCCCCCACTCTGCCAGTGCAATCTCAGAGTGGGGGCAGGGAGACATTGTCCCCACCCAGACTCCAGCGGTGAAGCCTGGCCCAGCAACAGGCTACTCCTAGGGGCAGGAAGCAATCTCCTGCCCCTTGCTGCTCAGCTGACCAGGAGCAAATTTGTTCTTGGTCAGCCATCTATATACACCTTACTACTCAGTAATTACTTCACAGTTAATTTTCTACTTGCATTTGCAGGTAGCAAATTAACTGTGAGTAGAGCAAATTACTGCAATAACGGTTTGCATGTGTAGACGGTAACACTTACTATGCAGTAATTTGCTCTACTGTGTAATAAAGCATCTTGTGTAGACGTTACTTCTCACTCCTGCTTGACACCTGCCTGCTAGGATTTAAACAGCTTCTCCTTACTAGACTCTTTATTGTTTTCTCTTTCATAGTTTTCCTTAGCTTCATCAGTCAGGACCCCTTTCATCACCACCACTTTCTCCTGACTCATGTAGCCCTTCTAACTAGTATGGTTCCCCTACTTTTCCATATCTGAATTTTTGACAAAAATTCAAACCAAGGCAAGATAAGGGTCTCTCCTAGTGCTTAATGTCTGGTTTGTAAAAAAAATAGAGATTCTAATCTAACCTCAGGTGGATACAAACCAAGCTATTAGCTTTGTGGTGCCATGCTTGCGTTTAAAGCTCTGAATTTATATGTTAATTGACTCTAATATAGTTGAAATGCCCATAATGGTGATGCTTGCAGAAGAATGTACAAAGATAATGAGATTGTAATAGAAAGTGCTGTAAGATGTGAGGCAGGAGCTGCTTAAAGGGATTTTACACTTGCAAAATTGAAAATAAAAAAGGTAATACAATATTTATGCTAACTGAATAGTTTGATGTGCTAGGCTGATACATTTGGACATGTGCCTACTTCCAAATGCCTAAGTGGGAATGACACACCCTGTTTGCCTATGACTTGACAACACAAAGCCAGATCCTGGGCCTGGTAAGGGTCTTTGTGTCACTCTCTTATAGGGAAAACTGAGATTTCCCCAGATTAGGAAGTCTCAATCTGTTTCAGAAATGACATGTCATCAATGTCAAAAGAAAGCCTTTGTACCTTAGTAATCTCCAGACAGTGGAAATTGTAAGTCACTGTAAAGCATTGCTTAAGGTATATATTAGAGCAATCTTTAGGCTTGAACAAGTAACAAATTACTGTATTGAAGCAGAAACAGACCCATATAACCTAAGGACTTCACCCCATTTGGGGATGTTGGCCAACAGTAACATGGCCAGATCTGAGGATCAGGCCTTTAAAAACTTTCCCTGTTTTTTCAGCTGAAAATTCTCTAGATACAAGGATTGTATTGGTTTAAAACAATAGCAGACAGATGACAGACCACTAAACTAAACTAACTTTGTCTAATCTTGGTGGAGAATTACTCCTGGTGTAATTAAGCATCATTGGTATTTGGCACCTTTAATAATGATTTAGAAATGAAGGTAATCATGTTAATCAAGTTTGCAGTGGGAATAGCAACTTAAAAGTGTTGTAAATACCAAAGCTAACAACAAAATAAGAGGGAGATAAAAACAATGAAATAAAACAGCTTGGAAAACAACTTGAATGAATTAAAACATTTTCATTGTGAGTTAAAAATAATACAAAACACAGAGGAGAAGTAATTGTGAAAGAGAATGAGGTGGGCATTGGACAATATATATATATAACTTGTAAAGGCATATAAGCCTGATCCAGAGCCTAGTGAAGTCAATGGAAAGACTCAAACCATTCTCCATTGGCTTTTTGTCAGATGTTGTATCAAGCATAATATCTAATACAATCCTGAATTATATGTATAGAAGCAAATTACTATAAAATAAGTGCTAAGTAATAGCCCTTTGCTTTATGGTGAAACTCTTAGAAAAGTGTATTCATTTCTAATGGACAGCTTGACAGATTTTAGGAGAGGAACAAAAATGGTTAAAGATATGTTCAGATGATGTCATGAAACCATATTTTAAAGAATAAAGTATTTATATAGTTTATATAAACAATGACTAATTTAACACTGTTTTTTGCTATTTATGTAACAAAAATAAAGTGAAGAAACTATGTGGTCAAAGTTAGGGTACCTATATATGTGCTCAGGGGTGGGAGCGGGGATGAGGATGTTTTAATTAGAGTGACTTCCAAGAGCCACTCTAATTAAAATGCTGCGGCATGTCATGTATTCAGTACTCTTCATTTCAAAATGGCGGCGGGGGGGCTTAACTAAAGCTCATTGAACGAGCTTTAGGTGAAGCGCCCACCCAGCCATTTTGAGATGTGGGATGCTGAACCCATGAGGTGCTGCAGCATGCCGGAGCATTTTAATAGGAGCACTCCAGCAGATTTGAATCGAGTCTGCTCCAACACGTTCTAATCAGAACACATCAGAGCACGTGTATAGGCACCCTCAGAGTCTAAATACATGTGGGCCTACATACTCCTGCTCTGTTCGGTTTCAAGTGATTTCCCAAAGCAAAAAGCACAAGGAATATTGGAGGCAGTTTGTATTTACTTTACACCGTGGTGTGGTACATCATAATCATCTAAAACATTCAAATTTAGTACATAAAAACAAAGCATAGGAATTACTCAGGGCTATAGATTCCCTTACGTCCCTTGAGTATACTTCCCTCTCCACAATATATCACCTACAGTGTTAAAACACCTTTATTAAGGTTGTACTCAAAAGTTAGAAAATGTCACAATTAAACTTGTCCTTGCAACCTTAATTTGGCTCCCTTACTAGTATGTGTAATGAGACAGTCTTTGAGTATAAAAAGACCTTGTCTCTGGAGCAGAATAAGCCGTGCCCAGATGTGTCCTAATACATCTGATCCGCTTCACTGGCATTTACAGATGTTATGTGGGGTCACTGTCCTGCAGGGGCTGACTCCTGCCCATTTCCAAGGCTTCTGGGTCCTGATCCCATGCTACAATGGCCTTCGGTGTTACACCCCAACCCAGGGCATTCCCCAGCCCATAGGGGTTCCCTTGCTTGCAAACACATGGCCTAAATTGGGGCATGGCAGCTGGATATGTTAGCCATTAGAGTTCCCTGTAAGGGAATTCTTGGGGCACACAATTATCAAACAGACATCTGCCCC